TAATAATTTACCAAATATTCTATTTAAATTATTTTAATATTAAATAAAAACAATTTATTAATATTTTATTTTAGAATCCTGGCGAAACAAGTCAATATCTTCTACATTGTATCAGAGATGTAGATACACGTTAGAATTCCAGTTATTTAGCCTGGATGCGTTTAATTGAAATTAAACCATATATTGATATTTTAGTTGCTACTTTACCAATTGATGACAATTCTGATGCAAGAAAAGATGGATATCGACTTACTAAAATTATGCTAACTAAAAAAGAATGGGAATTATTAGCTGATTTATGTTTTATATTAGAAGGATTTGCGGAAGCTACTACTTATCTTGGAGCAAGTAAATATGTCACACATAGTATTATGAGTCCTTTATTAAAAGAGATTGAAAGACGCATTAAACCAGCAAATTTAGTATTTGAAACTGATGTAGATTTGGAAAATATTGATGATGTTTTTGAAAAAATAGATGAAGGTGAAATATTAGAAACAAATGAGAAAAAAATTGATTTTACAACTAATCAACATCAAAAATTAAATCTTAATGATTCTTTGGATACTTATGGAATGTTAGAAAAAGTTAAATATCATTTATATAAAGCAATGAAAATTTATTGGCATACTGAAGAAGGAGATGCACTAATATCAGCAATACTTGATCCTAGAATTAAATCCCTTACTTTTATTAATAATCAAGATTCAAAAGATCAAGCAAAGACATTATTACAAAATAAATATAATATACTTAAAGGAGAAAATTTATCACCAATATTACCAGAAATAAGATCAACACCATCACGAAGTTCTCTTTATCAAACATCATTATTTTCTATTTTTGAAAAACAACAAACTTAACAAGTTAATGATGAAGTTTCGGCATATTTGAATTTATCTGAAATAAATTTTGAAATGAATCCATTTTATTGATGGTGTGATCATAAAGGTCAATTTCCTCTTCTTTCACAATTAGCACGAATTTATCTTTCAGTTTCAGCAACTTCTACTCCAAGTGAAAGGTTGTTTAGTGATACTAGAAATCTTCTAACTGCAAAAAGAACGCACTTAAATCCAGAGTTATTTAAGTGCTTGATATTTTTAAAAAGAAATGTTTCATTTATTGATAATATTCATCCACCAATTAATAAATAATCATAAGAATAGGTGGGATATTGAAAAGGATGAAATTAATGGTCGACTATACAAAATTAAAATAGGAATTTATTATGAGAATAAAAGAAGATTTGGAAAGGGATTTAAAATTGTAATATTTTTTGATTTATAATGGGTTTTCTAATAAAATATTATTTACCGTAATTACTTTTATTATGTTACATAATTTACGATTTTTTAAATTTATACAATTTAATTTTTTAAAATAAATTTTTATTTTAATTTTTTTCGATATATATTACATTATTTTTTTTTATTTTAAAATATATAATATATTAATACATTAAATATTTGTATGTAAAAAAGAGAAAACACTAACTAATATAACTAACTATTCTCGATTTTTCTTTAAAAAATGAATTAAACCCTCTCATTCACTACCAAAGAACCCTCCAGGAAGAATTACCTATCCAAAGACCCGCTCCTAAGAAAAAGAAGAAATTAAGTTAGAAAAAAAGAATTCCTAAAAGAAGACTTGCCATCCAAAATATCTGATCTAAAAAAAGAAGAAACCCCCCTTGAAAGTACTCCTAAAGAATTCTGAAAGAAGGCTTACCTATATGAAGAGAACGAAAGATCCACTACTAAAAAAAGAAAGAAGTTAATAAAAAGAATAATTCCACTCCAAAGAACCTCTGAAAGAAGGCTTGAGAACAAAAGATCCGCTGTAGAAAAAGAAGAGAAATGTTAGTAAAAGAAGAAATCCACCCTCGAAAGTATCTGAAAGAAACTTACCTAAATGTAGAGAACAAAAGATTCCTCCTAAAAAAAAGAAAATGAAATTATTAAAAAAGAAGGAATCTACTCTCAAAAGAAATTTCAAGACTCCCAAAAAGAAGACTTACCTATATGAAGAGAATTAAGATCCACTACTAAAAAAAGAAGAGAAAAAATTAATAAAAGAAATAATTCCACCCTAAAGTAACCATCTAAAGACGACTTACCCTTTCTGAGAAAATGAAAGTTCTACTCCTAAAAGGAAAAAGGAAAAAAAAAAAACCTTCGAAAAATCCTCAAAGAATTCTACGAAAGAAGGTTTACCTTGAATACTCTTAAATTTTTTAAAAAAAAAGTAAATAAATAAAAAAGAAATAAAAAAGTAAAAAGAAATTTAAAAAAAAAATCGGATGAAGATAATAAAATAAGAATTTTTGAAACAAAAGTAAAAAAATAAAAGAAATTTAAAAAAAATTGTGTAAGGGTTAGTTAATAAAGAATTTCTGAAAAAAAAAAAAATAAAAATAAAAGTAAAGGTTTAGGAGAGAAGAACGAAAAAAAAATGAATAAATAAGTAAAAAAAGATATATTTTAAAAAAATCGTGTGAAAGGGAAATTAAGAAAGTTTTTCGAAAGGAACAAAAAAAATCGTTAAATTGTTAAGTTTTCGTTTCGTTTCCGTTGTTGATAGATAAAAAATTTTGAAAAAAAAATAAACAGATAAGATTGATCGAAATGATTAGATTAGTTGAAATGAATTACGATTTTGAATATTCTATAGATAACTTCATCTGCGGATAATCCGTAAATTATCTGCAGATAAATTTTTTTAATTTACTCAGATACATACAGATATCCGGATAAATTATTTAGCTAACAGATATCTGCGGATTGTTGCAAATTATCCAGATCGCATCACTAATCTGAGATTAATGGATTAGAGCATCTCGAGTCGACGACTTGCTGAAAATGTCAAGTTATTTCTCTTTTAACATCAGTATGATCTATGAGCAACTCTTTTTCAGGACTGTTATTATTAATGCATTTGTCTAAAAGAATAGTGATGCAAGGATGATCAAGAAGGGAGTCAAACATGGCTGATTGATTTGTAGTAAAATTCTCACATCATTGTTCGATTGCTTTTTGAATAGATTTTGCTTTGTATTTTATTTCTTGTATTTTTGTGACAACTATTAGTACTTTTTTTAGATCTTTAAGAACAGAAGCTGTCCTTGATAAGAAGTTCAAATAATATGCAGTTGATGTAAGTAAGGTAATGTCATAATCCTTAAAAAATGGTGAGACTTTATCAAACAAACAATTCTATTTAATATCATAAACTCTATTGAAGAAGCAAAATTTAGAATAGCGTTCCAGTTTATGAAGCAATTTAATACATTTATAAATTAATTTGAGCAATTTGGATCTGAAATCACGAGTATGATGAGAGGTATATTTGTTAGGAATATGTTTTAAAGCTGCATCTATGATGGTTTTTTAGAGAAGATCCCATATGAAATTAATTTTATGTACATTGAGAATATTATCGAGGTTTACAGAAATAAGTTTTGATTTATTACATTGAGCATTAACAGCAGCAGCAAAGGTAGACCAGTCTTTATCTGACATATTCTGATATAGAAAAATAAGTTTTTTCATCATTGAAGCATTGTTGAAGCTTGGGTTGATAGAAGTAAAGACAATGGAAATAGATATTATATAATGATCTGAGATCGAAGTATCTACAGGAATGACTTGATGGTTATTAAAATCAGGAAGTAAAGATGGAGTGATAAATATATGATCAATCGTTGATCGTGAAGAACCTCGAATATATATATAGAGGTCATCAATATTTTTAACTGATTTGACAAAATCAAGGGTGTTGATAAAATTATTGTTAGTTATATAAACTATAAAATATTGTAAATGCAAAGGGTTATGAGATTTAGATAGATCAGTATTAAAATCACCTAAAATAATAAGAAAAAAATTAGCACAAGTAGCTTCGTTCATAAGAGTATGCATTTGTTAAATTGTTTTTAAACGAAGGGGTTGATCAGAACTAGACAGGTAAACGTTAATATATGAAATTTATTTTTGTTTTTAAATTGAAAATCAAGACAAAAAATTCAATTAAAGTAAGATAAATAATGAAAAATATAATCAGTAAGGTATTTCTTAACAAGAAATCTTACACTAAAACTAAAGCATCGAGTATCTAAATCAATGAAAAAAAATGATACGAAATTGTTATTGCAAATCTTTTTGAAGGAAAATAATGAAAGGATATAGTAAAATTTGTTTCTTATAATACAATAATGTTTAAATGATTAATAGAGTAAAGGTCAAATAAGATTTGTTGTTTGAGTGAGTCTAATAAAGAATGAGTATTATGGATTGCAACATTAAAGAAGTAGGAGTATGTTTGCAATTTGTATGATTATTTATTAAATTCATATAAATTGATTAGAAAAAGAAGCTAGGATGGGCAAAGCTAGAGTCATCTTTATTAATCCAATCCATACAACATCTGGATTTATCAATTGAAAAATAGATACGTTGAATGAATTGTTAGATTTTCTATATACAAATTTTTGAATGCAAGCTATAGCTTTAAGTGCAGTATTAAGTTTTTTAATATTCTATTTATTATTTAAACGTAACTCCTCATTTTTTTGAGCAAGCTATTCAATTTTATTTTAATATTCTGTGATTTTAGATTCAGAAGTATCTATCCCTCTTCATACTGGGATTCATCAGTCTTCATGTTAGCTTTTCCTTTGCCTTTGTTGATGGCATTTAATTTCACAGCTTTTTCAGGGTAATTATAAAGATATTTAGATGACGTTCAATAGTATCAAGACACTAAACTATGAAAATGAGATCATTATAGATTTTAGCAAGGGTTTCTGTGAATGCATTTAATTTGAACATGATTTTTGTGACATCAGATGGTTTCCAGTTAGATTGATTGTTTCTTTGTTATTTTGATAACAGATAATTATCTTCTACTTGATCAGACCAGAATTTGTTAGCATAAATTGAATCATTTAAGAATAAGTTGTAAGATTTGTTATGACTGAGTAGGGTTTAGAATGAGTAGAAATGACAGGAGGTTTGTCAGCGAAAGGTTTGATAGGATGAGTTTTGTTAACAAATGATTAAGGGTTCTTAGAATTAAAAACGTGCTCATCATCCTTGGCAAAGATGGGTCTAACTGATTTAGAAGAAGCAAAATAATTTTTAAATTGAGCGGGTTTAAATCTTTAGTATAAATTTTATGTTTGATGATCTTAAGACATAGTATATTTCTTTCGATAGAAGAGAGAATCATATCTAGATGCAGCATAGTGTGTATAAAGTTTAGTGTCAAATTGAGTCTATACAAGTCATTTATCGTTTAATACTATTTGATCTCTATTAACTGTGGCATATAGATCTTGTTCTGATACGAAGTGAACAAAGCATATTGAAGGTTTTGATAGTTTGAATAAGCTTTAGGAATTACCCAAGTCATTGCGTTAACAGCTTTAGTAATGGATTTAAGTTTACGGTCAGAGGTATCCTTGGATAAGTTAGTGAGTTTGAGGGTAAATTTAGAATAAATTGAATTTCTTCTACTGTAGTGATACAAAGATATACATAAACAAGGTCTTTAAGAATGAATTGATCTTTAATATTGTTAAAAAACAGTTATATTAGTGCCTTCTGCAAAGAAAATAGTAGCTTTTTACCACAGGTTTTTAGTGATCATGGAATATTGTAGAATAGTTTCGTATTTAGCAAATGTTAATCAAATTACATGCTCAAAAGTTAATATGAGGATCTCTATTATCTTGATTGCTAATTAAGGATTAAATCTAAATAAGGTAGGACATTCAAGGGGTTTCAATTTTAAATCTGCCATTTTTGAAAATTTGACATAAAGTGCTTTATTAGCATCCAAACTCATAAAGAATCCAAAT